TTTATTAACCAATTAAATTCGCGAAGATCACGGATTGATCTACGAAAAATTAACCAATTACAGCGAAAGCCCGCTATGCTCTATCAAATAATAAATAATCCACGATCATTTAATGTTGCTGAATTATTTGGTTCAATGTCTAGCAGCTTGTTTAAATCTGCAAACTAATTTCATATACGCCCATATTGTTAATATACCATTAACTGGAATATTGGTTGATTTATAATATTTATATGTATTAAATATAAATCTTAATTAGTTTTAAATCGCGAAAGCTTTTATTTTTTTGGTTTTATCAAATTTTTGTTCTGAATTTCAATAATTATACAAGTTTTTAAAACGTATTCTCTTTGTGGTTATGATCGAATATACGCGAAATATACTTTGAGTCGTTAACATTTTGTTATGACAACAATACAGTATCTCATTCGTGTACATTTATAGAGAACGTAGTAGCAGCTTGATTTCCAAAAATGATTGCTATATTAACTTTCTTAAATAAGAGAAAATTAAGGATCTATTTTGATAATAGAGTCATATAGCTCCAATATTCTTTGTTCGTAACTTTTACTATCCGAAAAGTATTATAAATAATTGAAGTGGAGAATCATAATCAGAATTTCGGTCGTGAACTTGTTAATATTCATATGTAGATCTGAAAACTAGCCAATAAAAACGAATTTCATTCCATAAGATACATAAAATGATTATATACTTTAAATATAATTTAATATAATGGTTTATTATTTGGCATTGTGCTAAGAATATTTATAAAATATGAAGCTAAGAATCTTTCTTCTAAACCTAATTTTTCAAATTAAATTATTTAATAGAACTGATAAAAGTATAATAAATAAATAAAGTCAAAATAATATCAATCACTTTCAATTACTTTAAAAACCTCTAATCCTTCGATATTGTAATAACTACCATCTAAAATTTTAGGATAAAAATGTTGCTTATAAGAAATATTTTTATAATCAAAGTGAAATTTAAAGTCAAAGATATTTAATGGTCTAATATAATTATATTTTAAATTAAAATCTTTAGTCCCTAAAATAGAAACAAATTTAATTTTTTCATTATCAATTGTGAACATAAAACTATATTCCAGTTTAGCCTTTAAGGAAGAAAAATGTGAAATTGATGAATATTTCAACTTAAATGGATTATATCCCCCAATTATCAAATCAAGTTCGACAATGCGAAATACTATAACTGTTGGATCTTCGCAATTGGTTTTATATTCAGTTGGTTCAAGTAATATCAACTTAAATTGATCTTCGTTAGGAAATGATTTAAACATTTTCGGTTTTTTAACATAAATTTTTTTAAAAATTTCTTTAACTTGCTTATTATTTAATAATTTTGAATTAATACGTGATGATTTAATCCTAGGAGAAAGCACTTTTATGTCTTTAGGTTGCCATTCTTTAACAAGATATGATTGTAAAATTTGTTCGCAACGATTTCCGAGAATTTTTTCATAAGGTCTAACGTACATATGAAACTTATCCGATGACATTGTAAAAAATCTCACCAAGGGAATAAAATTTTTCAAAGTTGATTTCATAAATTCAATATCTCCTTCTGACCATCCAGAAGGGTCAGTGGAAAGATAAGGATTCTGTTGAGCACATCCCCATTCAATGATGCGATTCCAAATTTCTGTTTCATCTTGTACATAAAAGTCGTTACGTTTGAGAATAGGAAGAAGCTCTGATTCTTCTAATTCATGGAATTCTCGAGATTCCAGTAATATTTCAGGTTCATATTTAATAATATCATCTACGTGCTCACTTAACTTTGTGAATTTTTGATATTGTAGACTGACTCTGTATACAAAAACAAAATTTTCTCGAATCCATTGAGCACCCTGCTTGAAAAGGTGAACCTGTAAGTCATCCAACAAATCATCGAAGTAAAGTTCATCTAATGCAATAAGAAGTCTAAGAAGAACGTCAGCATGAAGAATGTCAAACTGAATTATTCCGGTATAAATATATCTATAATTAAAAATAATTTTGATATTAGCATAAAAAATATGTCAAAATTTTTTTAAAGGGAATAAAAAATTACCGAAGGATTATTTCAAAAATTTCAGGTGACATATTTGGTTTTTCAAAATCAATAATTCCATTATTTTTCTTCACCCATTCTTGAGAAAATGCAGTTTTAAAATACAGCGAACGTGCGACAAGTATTTGAGAATGTCCTCGGAATATTTTGATATTAGGTTTTTCACCTACTTTGATATTTACATCATAATTATTACCATCCTTAAAAAGTTTACCGAAATCATGGGATAAAGCTTTTAAATATTTCTCAGACATTGTGAAAATATGAATTCTGATAAAAATTTTGCAATATCGTTACAATACATAATATATAAGAACTTTCAAATATCTAAATATTTGTGTATATTTATATATTTATTAAATTGTCCTACATTAAACGGTCAATAGTTTTCACATTATTGCATTAAAGAAGTGAAAGGTGGTATTAATTATAATTTGTTCGGACTATTCTTTTAATTGTCCGATGGGATGACATAACAATAGGCTTGTAACCCAAAATCAACTATCCTAATATCTCATAAGGAAACGAAGTTCGGAATCAACAACAATAATAACGACAATTATACATATTTTTTAAAATAATAAATTATAGTTAGAGATAACTTTTTATTTAACAACATCTAAATCAAAACATTTTCGACAACGTTAAAATTTGAACAAATTGATTTTATTTCAAAATTAACATCTTTAATGAATTCGATAAAGAATTTTGATTGGCCACTTTAAACAGACAGATTCTTGGTTGAATCCATTGAGGGAAGTGCTTGTGAATGCCCTAAGATATTGTTTTATGTGGTTTAATGATTAGACTGCGCAAAATTGATTTTTCGTTTTGCATAATCCAACTCGCAATTTTTTAAAGTCCAATTGTGCCGCGTGCACTTATTTGTGCGAGTGATACAAACCCAAAAAGAGAAATTAGCCAATCGGAGAACGTAAAATGTGATTATCCCGGATCAGCCCGACACGTGAGCAAAGCGAGAAAAACATAAAGAAAAATGAAAAAAGCGAAAATACAAGAAAACGGGTGTTTAAATCGACCTTGTTAGACTAATAAAAAATAACGGGGATGAAATTTTGCATATAAAAACCTATAATTTAATATTAAAGCTCACAACCCTAACACTAACCCTAACACGCTAACCGTAAATTTTAGTTTTACCAACAGTTTATTTTTTATGTTGAGTTTTCTTTTTGGGGTTTGTATCACTTGCACAAGCGCCAATTATTCTTTTTTCTTTTGCTATTTTATTTTTTCCATCTGGTGTCACCAAATAGAGACCCTAAATTCCTGTAATTGTCCAATAGAACCGATAGAAAAAAAAAATCGGACTGACCGACCCAATTTTGATATTTAATAATGAAAAATTAACATTGCATGGCTTTGTTATTCATGTATTTGTTATAATTTTTTTTAATATTAGTATACAGTCAACTCTCTTTATAATTGACCAAAAATGCCAAAATTTTCACTTCTGATATATTGGAAGATTTCAAAAATAGCTTATTCTGAAAATAAATGGGAGTTTAAAAGGTCTTACAGTATTTTCTGAATTAAAAGTTAAATAGGCATGTCCAGTTATAAAAAAAAAAACAGTCTAGCATCACCCAAAAAATTAGTTATATACCGGAATTTAAAAATTACAGTAAATATCGGTATTTAGGTAATAATCACTTTGACCAAAACTCATTATGCACAATTATTGAATGTTATTCTTTATTTATTTTACCATTTTTTTTTTTTAAAAAAGACGCATGTAAGCCAGCATTATTTAATTCCTGACTAAAATAGCATTTAATTTTTGAAAATAATACATTTAACTGGGGTAAATCACTGCCCTTATGTTTTTAGGGTTAGGGTGCAGTTTGAAACATTAGGTAAATAGACCAGATTTTAGTTAAAGTTACTTTGCAAAAACCTTGATTTTTGTAAAATATTTTTAACATATCAGAATAAGCTAATAACAAGTCTATCAACTTATTTAAAACAATTAGTTATTATCTAATATAAATATTTTAAATCTATTATACCTATATTATAGCTCTATTAACTTACGTACAACTTGCTAATATAAATATTTCAAATATATTATAAATAGTTAAAAAATAGATAAAAATTTTTTAAATAGATTTTAAAAAGATTTTAAATAGATTTTAAATAGATTTAAATAGAGCTTAAATAACTTTTAAGTAGATTTTAAATAGATTTAAATAGATCTTAAATAACTTTTAAATAGATTTTAAAAAGGTTTTAAATAGATTTTAAATAGATTTAAATGAATTTAAATAGATTTAAATAACTTTTAGAAAGATTTTAAAAAGATTTTAAATAGATTTTAAAAAAATTTTAAATAGATTTTAAATAGATTTTAAATAGATTTTAGAGATTTTAAAAAAAATTTAAACAGATTTTAAAGAGATTTTAAATGGGTTTAAATAATTTTAAATAGATTTTAAATAGATTTAAACAAATAATAAATAGGTTTTATTGATTTTAAATAGATATAAAATAGATTTAAAACTATATTAAACTAGATTTTAAATATATTATCAATATATTTTATATTAAAACTACTTTTAAATATACTATACTTTAAATTTAGTATATAACAAATAATATTTATATAACAAATATCTTGTCAAAAGATCAGCATTATTTATCTCTTTCAAATTCAGACAATCTAGTAGATTACAACTACATATTTTGTTTACTAATGAATATAATACTACTTCATGAGTCCAGGCTCTTGGTTAAAGAAATATTTGAAGATGATCATATAATCAAAAAGAAATTTATATATTAAAACAATGCTTTACAGTAGTAATATACAGATGTTGCATTTGTTATAAGATTTTTTAAAGCCTTGTATAGGTTATAATAGTGTAAAGAACATCTTTTCTTCTTCTTTTTTTTTTTTGTATCTTTTTTTTTTACTTGTCAGATTGCCTGGTTTTTCTTTTGCTTTTTTTATCTTGTCTTTTAAATATTAGGTTTATTGTTTAAGTTATGTAGTTTTTTCTATTTACTATTCCCTTTTTATTCAATTTCTCTTTTTTCTCTTTTATAAATGTTTTGTTTTTTTTTTACTTTCTTTAGTAAATATAAATAGATATACTATCAAAATTTAAGTAGAAAAGGTCTTAAAGAAAGGTTTAGGCTTTTTAACAAAGCCTCTAGTTTTGTATAATTTTTACAGACTAGTATAGCAGGCTATATATAATAATGTTTTTAAACATGTTAGATAATATCAAACTTAGAGATTAAGTAATTAATATTATAACTCTAGTTATAATCAAACTTAATAAAGTTTTTGGTAAGACTGTTTAAGTTTAAATATATATATATATATATTTATATAACAAATATTAATTTTTTAAATAACTATCTATTAATAATTACTAAAATAATCTATTTCAATCCAATTTGCTAGTTATATTCTCTCTTTATTATAGCAACTCTTCCTTACTCTACTATCTACTAGCTATCTTTATACCTTTACATTAGTCTTAGTTATATGACTAACACTATATAGATTATCTAATCCAAAGATAAACTTGATAAAATTATTAATATAGCAGTTTCCTTCTACAAAATGGTCAATATTTAAGTTAACCTATCTAAGTTTATTTTTATTTCAAACCAACTTTCTATATCTATCTCCTTTCTTAACTCCAATCTTATCTCTATTCCTATCTATTAGCTCTTCAAATTTCTAGAGTGTTGGTTTACTCTAAATAATAAGTACATCTAGCAAATCAAACTAATTCAAAATAAAGCTATATAGCTAGCCAATATTGCCAATAGCAAAAATATTACTGACAAACAAATTACTTTTATTATTAATACTGTTATTATTTCAACTACTGAATATTATATTTAAAATATTGTTATCTCTCTTTCTACCTGCAACAAAATTTCTAAAAAATATTTAACTATTGCAAAACACAAATTATATCTTTCTAGATCTACACTCAATAGTACTATACATAACTACAATTTTTATAATATTTATAGCTTATGGAATATACAGCTTCAACATTATATTAACAGCTTTCTCAACTATATTAATAATATATCTACTCTTGGTCTAACAACTTATATCAGACTCTAACAACTTCAAAACAACTTATAGTCTACTACCAATATTCTTTACCATCCTAATTCTACAATTGATAGCTGTAACAAACACATTACTACTTTCAAGATTATACAACTTTTTAATTCTCTTAATATTTCTATTCTCTCTAACTTTAATCTCTCTTGGCCCCAAACTATCTCTAGTGATAACTCTTCTCTTAAAAATATTCTTTTTGTACACCCAAAATATTCTACTTTTAAACAACAACTTCAATATAAAAATATTCTTTTTCTTAAACAATTATGCTTTGCAAACAACAAAATACTACTCAACTAATTTTATTTATCTTCAAAATTATTGTATATTCATAAAAGAAAAAAACTTTTGGTTTCAGTATCTAAAAGATACAATTTTATTACACATCTCTAATAGTATAATTTTAATACCTTTTCAACTTACTGGACAAAACTTATTTGCTTATCAAACTAGCCTAATTAGTAAATCTCTTAAGCCATGAATACTTACTTATATTAATAATATTATTATTATTGGTCAAGATTGAAAAGTATATTACTAATCTAATCTACTCTTAATCAACTACTGGCTATATGATATCAATACTTCTTATTTTATCTGCTATCTCTTACCTTCTATTATCTATAAACTTTGTTTAGAATATAATCTTAACTCATATTATATATCTAACTACTATACTTTAAAAGTCTCTTCTATACTTTTTACTTAATTCTTGAGAAGAAATCTAATAACAAACTCAAACTTAATGCTAACTATATTAATCTAATTCAATTTGTTAATATTAAAAACACCTCTTATATTCTATCTCCTTTTCTATTAATATTATAAACCCTTTTGCATTTTTTCTATTCTATTATAATATAGTATTCAATATTCTCACACAATTTTCTCTTGTTAATAAATCTTTTTAACACTTTACTTTTTATACAGATAGCTTTGTTTTAAATCTTGATACTAATCAATACACTATGAGTATTAGTTGAGTTCAATTATCTAATAACTCAGCTATATACAACTTCTCTACTCAGATTTTCAACTAGCCATTATTCTATAAAGCAAAACCCTTAGCTATTTTCTTTGCTATTTCTACAGTTCCTTACAATTTCTTAGTTGATATTTTTACTGACTTTTAATTAATAA